GGCCTCTAGTATATAATAAAATAATTTTTAAAAAGAATAAACTGTTTCATGTACTCATAACTATAAACTTACTTTTGCCCCACCCTGTATGTACGTGTGTGTGTGTGTGTGTGTGTGTGCATATATGTATATATACACTGAGTGGCCAGATTATTATGATCTCTGAACGTATAATAATCTGGCCACTCAGTGTATATCCTATATAATAAAAGGCTAATATGCAAATTGTCCCCTTGACCAGGCTGGCCAACCGCCCATGTCCCCTTCCCCTGGCCAGGCTGACTGGGCCCCACCCATGCATGAATTCATGCACTGAGCCTCTAATATATATATGGGCTTCATATATATGTATGTGTGTGTGTTTATATATAGAGAGTGGCCAGATTATTATGCATTCAGAGATCATAATAATCTGGCCACCCAGTGTATATACATATAATCTTAAGACATATGAACTTGTCCTCCACCTTATGTGATATTGTTGTCCAGTATCTTAATTCTAGTCAGTATTCCTTTACAAATTGGGCAATATATTTTTAAATGTTATGCAATGTTTGCTTAGAGTTACTGACATATTTATAAATATGTTTATCATTACTTCATGCTCCTCAGATTTCCATATGGGTTCATTTTCTTTTTAGCTGAGGTACATCCCTTAAAAAGGTCCTTTAGTGAATGTCTGTGATCTCATATTTGTATCTGTCTTAAGTTTTAATAATTGCTAACACATACATTTATACCTGGTTTAGAATTGTAGTTTATTTTCTCTCAGCACAATGAAGATGGTATTCTACTGTCTTCTAGCTACCATCAGATTGCTGTTGAGAAGTCAGAGAGCAATCAGTATTGCTCCTTGATAGGTGATGTGTCTTTGGTCTGGATGCTTTAAATATCTTCTCTCTTTTCCTTTGGTGCTCTTCAGTTATGTGATGATGTGTCTAGATACGGCTTTTGTTTATACTGCTTGGGATTTATTGGCATTCCTGAACTTAAAGATGTGTATTTTCAATACTTCTGGAAAATTATGGTATTAAGAAGTTGTTATCTATTTTTAAATAGTTTTATTGATATATAATTTATACATCATAATGCTCATTTGCATATTTGGAGTTGTGCACCTTGACTATAGTCTAATTTTAAAAGACATTACTTCACCCCTGCCCCACCCACCCAAAGAATCCTTGTACCTATTAGCAGTCATTTCCTATTTCTATCCCATCTGTTTCTGTCTAGCCTTAGGAAATCACTAATTTGCTTTCTTTTCCTATAGACCTGCTTATTTGGACATTTCATAAAAATAGAATCCTACAATATATGATCATTTGTTAGTGGCTTATTTCACATGCCATAATATTTTAAAAATATTTTTATTTATTTCAGAGAAGGGAGAGCGAAAGATAGAAACATCTATGGGAGAGAATCATTAATCAGTTGCCTCCTGTACAACCCCTACTGGGGGATGAGCCCACAACCCAGGCATGTGCCCTGACCAGGAATCAGACTGAGACCTCTTGGTTCAAAGGTCAATGTTCAACCACTGAGCCACATTGACTGGTCATTTGCCATATATTTTTGAGATTCATTCATGTTGTAGTATACTGTAGAGCTGTACTTTCTATTGCCAGATAATATTCTATTTTATGGATAAACCACATTTTATTTATCCATTTATCCTTTGGGTTGTTTCCACTTTTTAGCTGTTGTGAATATGATGCTGTTAACATTTGTGTGTAGATGTGGGTTTACATTTCTATTATGTAAATAATGTACAGTGAAATTTTAGGTTATATGCTAACTCTATGTTTAAGATTTTGAGGAGATGTCAAACTGTTTTCCAAAGTCACTGTACCATTTACATTCCCTCCAGCAATGTATGAGCGTTCCAATTTTCCCACCCTCATTATCTCTTTTAGGAGCTATGACTAGACATATGCTAGACCTTCTCACTACAGGGGTGGGAAAAGGAGGTTTACTGTGCCATTGTGACATTCTTTTGAGTTTATAAAGCTATTGTAATAATCATAACTTGCATGACTTTTTTCCATACAAACAACTGTAAACTTAACTTTTGCCCACCCCTTATATCTACCATATCTTATAACCTCTCATAGTTTCAGTCTCTTTATATTCAATATAAATACATTCAATCTATCATCCAGTTTATTAATTCTTTATTCAGTGGTAGAATCTATCTTCAGTGGTAGAACCCATTTTTCAAAATATTATTTTTTTTTTTACTTTCAACTACTAAAAATTTAATTTCTATAATTTCTATGTAAACTTTTCTCAATTCTGTTAAATTAGTCATACTCATTACTTAAGCTTGTCTTATATTTATTTAAATATTTTGTATTAGTCAGCTCAGACTGCCATAACAAAATACCACAGACTGTGTGGTTTAAACCACAGCAATGTATTTTCTCATAGCCCAGAGCCTGGAAGTCCAAGATCAGGATACCAGAATGGTTAGCTTCTTGGTGAGAATTCTCTTCCTGGCTTCCAGATGGCAACTTTTCAGAGTCCTCAGATGGTGGAGAAAAGGCATGTTCTCCGGTGTCTTTTCTCATAGGCACTAATCCAGTCAGGGTCCCATCTTTATGACCTCATCTAATCCTAATTACTTTCTTATTCCAAATGCTGTCACATTGGGTCTTGAACCTGTAAGTTCTAGGGAGACCCAATTCAGTCCATAGCATATATTACACTTACTAGTAATTACGTCCAAATCTGTGTCTTATAGTCTAGTATCTGAATACATAAAAGCTCTATTCTGCCTTCTGTGTGTTTTTGTTTTTTGTTTTTTGTTTCCTGCCTGTTCTCACAGATGATGCTTGCCTCTTAGGATGTTTTGTGATTTTTGTTTTACAGTGAGTTGCTCATTGTTGTTGGAATTTCACCTGTAGGAATTCTTGAAGGCATGGATTGAGTTTGAATTTGTTCTGGGAAGATTTGCATTTGTACCTCTCTGCCAACTAGAGGCCTTACAGCAGGGGATCACTTTAAATATCAGCTTGCATTTTTCTTTTCAGAAAATTCTGTGAATTTATGTAATGTTCAGTTTGGGGTTACAGATTTTCAGATGACTCTTTTTTGCAACATCCAGTACCAAGGACAAGACATATTGTACATTCAAGTTTTTCTTACTGTCTCCTTTTGTCCAGTAAAATTGTTTTTCTCACTCATTTTATACTGAGGGTTGGGTCCCAGCTTTGTGGAAGAGCCTCCCATTTGATCTCTTGTTTTTGTAGCCCCCAGGTTTGCCTTCTTTTTGGCATGCCCCACACAGCTTATTAAGATAAGTTCTCCAATATTGGCAGAAAGTCTTAGAGAAAAAGGCAAATGAGGTTGCTTGTACTTTGGATTTTGTGAATTTTTTATGGTCTTTCCAGTTCAGAGAGACATTTAGAATGTTGCGCTTAAATATATATATATGCTTTAACTGACATTCTTACCATTTAATTAGGAAAGTATGGTCAATTAGACTAATGGTCCCCAATGAAATATACCTCCATGTTGGTGCTCCTTTGCAATGTAACTTTGCTACTTAGCTCCTTCTATCTAAAAGTGAGGTCTGTTTTCCCACTCCTTAATCTGGACTGGGCTGTGACTTGCCTTGACAATAGAATGTGGTGTAAGTGACTTAGAAGGCCTTTGGCTTTTGCTTTCCTTGAACACTTGTACCATCATGTGAAGAAGTCCTAGATGGAAGATCACATGAGGAGAGAAGTGGAGCCATTGAAGCCATCGCAGCTGAGACCTCAGACATGTGAGAGAGGACACTTAAGAATGGCTATTCTCCACCCAGCCCACCGACTGAAAGCAGCCACGTGAGTGAGCTCAGGTGAGACAAGCAGAATCTTGTCTCACCTTGAAACAGCCAATTGTGAGAGAGAATAAATTATTTTTGTTTTAAGCCACTACATTTTGGGTAAGTTGTTACATACCAATAGGAAACTGATACAAAGGGTCATTTGGGATATCTAATCTCCCATACTACTGGAAAAGGATGTTCCCAGTGTGGAAAGTAGGAACCTAAAAGGAGTAAAGAGGGCATCCATGTTGGGAAGAGGAAGGCAGAAAGTGGTGAAAAAGAAATTCTTTACAGTAAGGGGATTGATGAAATCCTTTGGGAGAACCTTTCTAGACCAAATCCCTTTGCCTGCCCCCTAACAGCCCCCAGCCCACCATGACCCCTTCAGGCAACATCCTGCTTCTACTTTTGCTCCCAGTGGATGCAGCTCAGATAATTTCAGGTTCCTGTTCAGGATGTGAGCCCTCCCCCTGCCACTCCCAGCAGACCTTGTGGCTGGTGATGCTGTGGTGTCTCTGTTAATCGTGGTGGTGGTGTTTATGTGTGCCAGCCCATGTGACACGCCCATCCAAGAAGATGGCAAAGTCTACATCAACATGCATGGCAAGGGCTGACCCCCTGTAACTAGGACCTCTGACTTCTGACCCTCTCATTCTAGATTGTGTGTGGTGGCACAGGAAACCTACTCAATAAAGCAACTGAAGTACCTCTAAAAAAAGAAAAAAGAATAATGGGAGTCAGTTTTCTCACTGTTGGAAAAGGGAGTTATAAATATGGAAACAAGAAAACTAAAATCCAAGGACATTTCCCTGGAACTCATAGTTGTAAATATATATATGGAGAGAGAAATATAGAAGTTATGTATAAATATATAAGTATATCACTTAACTCTTCCTATTAAAATATACTGAGAGAAGTAACACCCCAAAAATAATGAGCATATCTAAAAATCCAGATCTTGACTTCTAAAAACCATTCTCCACTAAAAGAAATCATCTCTCTTTGGTGAAATGGCTAATATCAAGCTCTGGTCAAGGAAAATATCGGATGTGTTGGGAACATTTTTTCAATGTTAGAAAGTTGCAAATTGCTCATAAAATGATAAAAACATGTCAAAAGGATATAGAAACTAGTTGAAGGGGCTCTAACTAGCCAAATATAACATGATCAACAAAAATAATGATAATAATGGGCTATAATCTATTTCATAAAATAGGAGTCCAAGCATCTATATAGATTTTATTTTTAAAAAATTATTGTATAAAGTGAAAGTTTGGTAAGACACAGTATAGTTACATGGTATCAAAGTTACTCCCCACAAATTGTTAATTGCACACACATAAATAGATTGATTTTACATGGAGAAGCATGGCAGACAACACCTTAATCAAGTTGTCTGACTTTTCATCAGCAATACGGTAACAAATTGAAATGATGCATGATGTATAGAATCCAATCAAAACACAGCTGAAGCACTATGGTGTGCCTGTCAAAGATGGGTAGCTTGTATCTAACCATGAGAAAGCAAGCAGATCCCAATTAGTTAGCTATTGCTGTGTAAAAAAATTACCCCCAAACTTTGCAGATTAAAGTAGCATTTATTAGGGTAAAGGGAATCAAATATATGGTGATGGAAGGAGATTTGACTTTGGGTGGTAAACCCACAATATAATATATGGAACTGGGTGTGTTATAGAATTGATTACCTGAAACTTATATAATTTGATTAGCTAATGTTCCCCCACCCCCAATAAATGCAATTTAAAAATTAAAAGAGTAGCAGTGTTTATTATCTTTCACAGTTTCTGTGGCTCAGGAATTTGGGATCAGCTTGGATAGGCAGCTCTGGCTTATGTTCCTGAGGTTGCAGGAAAACCCACTTCCAAAGTGGCTTACCCTTATGGCTGGCAAGTTGACATGGCTGCTAATGAAGTGCTTTAGCTTTATCTCCACGTGGGCTTCTCTACAAAGCTATTTGAGTGTCATGATGCAAGAGCTGGCTTCCCCCAGTATAAGCAAAGAGATGAAGGCAGAAGCTGCAGTGTCTTTTGTGATCTAGCCTCTAGACACATACCGTCACTTTTTCACTAGTCTCCTGGCCACCTCACTTCTGGTTCAGAGTGGGAGGGGACTACACCGAAGGGTGTGGATACCAGAAGAGAATCACTGCCCTCCATCTTGGAGTTTAGCTACCACAAACCCCAATTAAGGGACAAAATTGCTGACCTGTGATTTTCCAAAGCATTAAAATCAAGAAAGTTAAGCAAATGCTGACGTACTGACTCATATTAAAGGTGACTAAAGAGACATAACTAAATACAACACATAATTTGGGACTGGATCCTTTGCTATGAAGGCCACTATTAGGTAATTGAGGAAACCTGAATGAGGTTACAGGCTCAAAGGTCAGTGTTAATTTCCTAATTTAAATGGCTGTACAGGCACACCTCACTTTATGGTGCTTTGCTTTATTGCGCTTCGCAGATGTTGTGTTCTTTACAAATTGAAGGTGAGACCCTGCACCAGCAGAAAGATTCTGACTTGCTGTATTGAGGTGGTCTAGAACCAAACTTGCAATTTTTCCAAGGTATACATGTATACTGGAATTTTCTTGTTTGAAGGAAAGACACAATAAAAATTTGTGAGTGATAGGGTATCGTGTTTTAACTTTCTCTCATTTTTTCTGAATATTTGATTGTTGAAAGAAAAACACACATAGCTTTAAAAACCCAAAGAAATAATTTAAACTACTTAAAAACACAGATGCTTAGGGGTTTTGATATTACAGTTGCTTAACCCACATTATTTTAACGGGCCTTATTTTAAAAAGTCATTGTACATTAAACTCAGAAACACAGAAAAGGCCAAAGGAAATATCTGTAGCATTTTGGCAAGTAGCTTTCTGGTCCTTGTTCTGTGCATACAAGTATTTTCACACATCCTTTTTAAAGAACAAATTATAAATATGATACTCTATTGTTTGTATCTTTATCATAAATATTTCCTTAGGCCAATAATGTTCTTCTACAATCAGTGTAAAGAGAGACCATTTACCCGCTTTTATACATCAAGTCAACAATGAGGCTGAGGTCCAAGATAAGGTTTGCCTGCCTCCAAAACCTGTATCTTTTTTCCCTGAACCAACTCCACTCCTTTCCTCAAGCAGGAACACATACCACACACACATACACACACCCACACACACACACACACACACACACACACCACAAATTTTTTTTTTCCCCTAACCACCAAAATGTACCAACAATGACAACAATGCTTGCCAGCTCTGCAGCTTTTCCTAGTTCCTGGCACCTGTTCATACCCAGGCTCCAAGGATCTTCCAAAGAAGTATATTATGCTTTAATGTACCACCTATATATCCTCAGGTCATTTACACAGCAAATAGCTGCGACAGTCTCCATTTCAGAATATTCTTTCCAGGAGGCTTATTTACCCCTGGCCCCTCTGTAAGTGATGATGGGATACATCAGTGTCTGAGTCAATCCACCGGTATTTGGATATCCACTGTCCACAAGATTCTGCATCTAAGAACTCTTACAAGTGCAAAGATATGCATGCTCATCTCTTTCCAGGAAGCACCTTGAAACTCAGCGAGGGAGAGAAGATAAATATCCATACAACAATACATAGTAGTCCCAGGTGGTCTGTGCTCAGTGTGGGAGTCAGAGAAGTACAATGGGCTTTCATTACCAGAAAGACTTCACAGACAAGGAGCTTAGCCCCCAAACATACAGGGGATGTGCATGGAGCAAGTATTTCTGGCAAACGAATGGTAATAAAAATGCAGACACAGGAATGTTTAGACACGTGTGGTGGATGGCGAAGAGATGTGTGGTTAGATGACAAAGAGAAAGATGGGTAAGAAGTCAGGTCAGAAACTGATTGTGGAGAGACTCGAATGCCATATCCAGAACAAATTTTATTAAATGGGAAGCGACTGATTTGGATGAGAGCCAGGCCCTAAATAAGGAATGAGAATATAGAGCAGTGGTTATCAACCTTTCTAATCTAGCCACCCTTTAATACATCCTCATGGTGTGGTGACCCCCCCAACCATAAAATTATTTTCGTTGCTACTTCATAACTGTAATTTTGCTACTGTTAATAAATCTTAATTTAAATATCTGTGTTTTCCGATGGTCTTAGACTTTATAGCAGCGGTTCTCAACCTGTCACCTAATACCATGAACATCTGAAACAAATGTACATCTGAAACAAATAAAAAATAGTGTTGAATGCAAACTGTAATACAAAAATAAAATATGACAAAGTTGATGGCTCAGAATAGATGGAGAAGCAGGAAGCCTGCTGAGGGACCACAGATTTCCAGAGGCGAATCCAAGCCCACAGCCCCAGGATTAGTGATCTTTTCCTGTGTGAGTTGAGGCTCTCCTTGGGGTGGATATATTCCTCCAGCCCTTGATTTTTTCTTTTCCCATGGACTTGGAATTCTCTGGAACTAGGATTACCTAGGTTCTCTGGCAGCACTGTCCAGAATTTTCTGTGATGACATCAATGTTCTCTATTTGTACTTCCTAACATGGTAGCCACTGGCAACACTGTGGCTTCTGATCACCTGAAATGTGGCTAGCATACCCGAGGAACTGACTTTTAAAATTTTATGTAATAATCATTAATGTATCATAAATAGACACACATGAATAATGGTCCCCTCATTGGACAGAGCAGCTATTGAATAACCCCTTTTTTCTTTAGTGAAGGAGACGAGACCTTCCACAGGAATGGAGGAATGCAATGGGCCAGGTATATATGTATGTGTATATATGTCTGTGATTTGGCCATTTACTGAGAGGTACTAGTTCTCTCAGTGACAACTCTGGTTGATCTTCCGAACAATAAGCTTGTAGTTTCAGAAACTTTACATCCTCTCTTTTTTGCTCATGATAAGAATACTCACACAGATCAATTATTTTGGAGAATGATTTTTTTTCCCCACGACTAAATTCTGAGTGTTTTCTTACCGTAGTGATAGTTCTGTTCTTAAATCCATACACCTGGGAAGCCGAGTGAGCTCCCCAAGTCTTATTGATGAAGAAGTGTGGGAACACAGGAGGCTCTTTCCTCAGGCCAAAGCAGCTCCTGCGCTTCTTGTGTGGTCACAGGGAGGACGTCTGGAGTCCTAGAAGTAGCTCTGGCTTAGTATCAGTGAGATCTTGATTCAAACTTTGGTCCTTGAGGAAGTTGTCTAATCATTTCAAGTCCACATCTATAAAATGGAAAGAATGATGCCTACTTAAATAAGCTGTTGCCTGTGCTGTTATTTATAATTAATGACTTGTTTATATTTATGCCACACTGTTGGCCAGCTAATGTGCTAGGTTCTGGGAATAAAATGGTAGGCAAAGAAGATACGATTCTTGTTCCACTAGCTTATTTCACTAGCACATGTTTTGGTGTGGGAAGGTAGGCATTAATCAAGTAATCACAAACATATATACTATGTATTATGTACTATATCTTTATAATATAATTGTTATATAAAATTTCAGTCTGTGACAGGTCCAGGAAGGAAGAGTACAGGTAATTTTTTAAATGTCTGCAGATCTTGTGACACTTTCTCTCTAAAAGTTAAAATCTAATTCCCCTCACTTCTAGCAAAGAGAATAGGGTGAACGTAATGCCATGTGGCTTCTGAGGCTAGTTCAGAGAAAGAATAAGGCTGTCATCCTCCTTCTCCCTTTCCCAATGCTTGGCCTTGAATCCAAGTGACCATGTTGTGAAGAAGCCCAAGCCCAGGAAATATGAAGAGGTCCACGTATAAAGAAGCAGGGTCCTGTGGCCACCACCAACACCAACACCAACTTTTCAGCTATAGGAGTGAACGGTCTTGAAGTGGAAACTCCAGTCCCAGTCAAACCTTCAGGTACCTGCATTCCTGGCTGACATCTGACTATAATCTCATGACAGACCGACCACGAGCCAGAACCACCTGACTCACAGAAATCATGAGAGATAATACATGATTATTACTGTCTAAGACATTAAGCTTGGGAGATATTTGTTATCCAGCATTAGATATCTAGTAAAACAGAAAACCACGTGTGAAAGTCTGAGGATCAGGAAGAAAACTCACTGGATGAAATAACATTTGAGCAGAAACCGGTTTAGCTCAGTGGTAGAGCATCAGTCTGCGGACTGAAGGGTCCCGGGTTCGATTCCGGTCAGGGGCATGTACGTTGGTTGCTGGCACATCCCCAGTAGGGGGTGTTCAAGAGGCAGCTGGTTGATGTTTCTCTCTCATCGACATTTCTAGCTCGCTCGCTCTCGCTCTCTCTCTCTCTCTCTCTCCCTTCCTCTCTGTAAAGAAATCAATAAAATATATTAAAAAAAGAAGAAATAACATTTGAATTAATAACAGGACAAGAGGAAGGAGTTAGACAAAGGGTGTATGCTTAAATGCTAATGAAGAGGATCCAGTATAGAGTGATGTTGAAGATGTAGAAGAGAGTAAATAATGTATACTAAAAGATTGTGAACATGTGAGAGGGGATAGGCTTTAGGAGCAGGTCAAGCCCTGTTCACATGGGAGGCATGGCAGCTCTCTGCAAGATTTATTTCTAATGTTTAAAAATTGTGAAATATAACAGATATGTAGAAAAAAAGTTCTTGAAACAAATGCATAACTTAAAGAATCATTATGGTGGACACCATGTAGCCAGAGAAAAATATGACATTGCCAGCACTCCAGAAGCCCCCAATCACTTTCCCTTCCTTGTCTATCCCCACTGATAATACCACCCCAGATTTATCGGTAATTTCTTCATGCTCTTCTATCTGGTATTTTTCCTTCATTCTAATTTTGCCATCCCTAAATGATGCTGTTAAATTTTACTTAAACTTTAAATAAACCCAACTATACTACATGATTCTTTTATTTAGTACTTCTTTCACTCGATACTGTATTTTTAGGATTCATCCATGTTGCTGTATAAAGTTATACTTCCTTCATTTTCAACACTGAATATAGTACTCAACTGTGTGATTGTAACACAATTCCTTTCCCCCCCTGCTACCATGATTGGTCATTTGGTGTTCTTCTTGTTGGGGATTATTATAATAATGCCACAGACTGGGGGAATGTCAATTGGGGAAAATAAAGGAGACATATGTACTACTATCGATATTTGTAATACTTTAAACTAGGGGTGTCGAACTCAATCAGAGAAAGGGCCAAAATCTAAAATCCAGCCTAAATTGCGGGCCGAATGGTTTACTGAACAGTCATAAACTGTCATTGTGATGGAAACGCAGCGGAGTGCAGTGATGACAGCGCGGTGCGGGCCACATTGCAAGGCCTGGCGGGACGGATTTGGCCCGCGGGCCTTGTGTTTGACACATGTGCTTTAAACAATAAAAAAAGGAAAAAAAATGACACAGAGAATATTCTCGTATGTGTGTCCTGGTGCGCATGTATCCGAGTTTCTCTTGGCTGCATTCCTAAGAGGAACTTCTGGGTCATAGCATATGCTTATCTTCAACTTCACTAGCTAATACCAAATTTTTCCAAAGTGGTCGTACCATTTACACTCCTTATAAGAAAAGGTGCTCAACTTCATTAGAAATGAGGCAGATTGTATCATTGTTATTAACAGATCTTGTCCTACAAATCATTATCTTCCTAAGCCTGGTGCTTCCTTAGGGTAAGTTCTAACCCAGCAATTTTCAACTCTTTTCTTCTTATGACACACATAACCTAATGACTAAAATATTGTGGCATACCCAAAAATATATTTTTTGCCCATCTGACAAAAAATAGGTATAATTTTGATTCATCCACACCTAACAGCTATTGTTGTTTGTGTTGGCAGGTGTCATTTTAAAAAAATATATATTTACTGATTTTTTTTTACAGAGAGGAAGAGAGAGGTATAGGGAGTTAGAAACATCGATGAGAGAGAATCATCGATCAGCTGCCTCTGCACACCCCCTACTGGGGATGTGCTTGCAACCAAGGTACATGCCCTTGACTGGAATTGAACCTGGGACCTTTCAGTTTGGCTCTATCCACTGAGCCAAACCAATTTCGGCTGTCATTTTTTTTTTTTTTTTAACTTGGATTACTTATAAGAGTAAAGAGGCCAGTGCCTCTGCTTAGTCAGGTATTGCATGTTTTAAAAATTCTTGCAGCACACCGGTTGAAAATCACCATTCTAGCCACCGGCTCTCCTTTCTACCTGAAGGCCTATTCTGAGTTTCTATCTCAGTGAGTTACCATTAAGTGGATCACTGTGTCTCTAATGTGTTACACGTTAGTTTCTTCCTTGGTAATACTTGGGGGTAACGAACTGTCTTGTATCGTAAGTGACACAAATCAATTGTTTCATCTCAGGGTCCGCTGCCACGTTGGCAGATGGTTGAATTCTGTGTAGTATCATATTTGGGCGGTTGAATGGAAGGTTAAAAGCATACAACTTGGAGCTGGACTGCCTGGGTTTGAATCCTCACTCACAAGAGTTATTCCTATTTATGTGTAGGTCCTGAGTGTATACTTAGCTGAATGAGACCCAATCTATTTTCTAGTGGCTCAGATATGGGGGCATCATATCTGAGTAGTGTGTCTGGTGCAAGGAGCTTTGAGGGGCCTAGGGAGGAAATATCTAATTGAACAGTCTTCCTGAAAAAACAAAACAAAACAAAACAAACAAACAAAAAAACACATGAAGATGGGAGAAATCGGAGAAAATTCTGGGTCTGGAAGTCACAGTACATCACGAAGAGCTTTGAATCCCAGGCCAAGGAACTTTTCTGTAATCCAGTAAGGAATGGGAGACCTTGCATTGCCAGGTGGCTGTGAGGTAGGAACTAGATTCTGAAAGGCACTCAGGTGCACTGGGCCAACAAATAACGGTTTAGAAACTCTACTGTTTTGCTGCCACCACCATTAGGCTTTATCAGGTGCTTTTGTAAGATGAGAATAGTTGGAGAGAGATGTTTAGGACAATTTTAAGACCAAATTAATTATGTTTTTACACATTTCTGAAAATCAGTGCTAAGGTGGCCAGGGTCATTATTGTGAACCTCATTATATTACCTTATTACTTCATACAAACTAGAAATATAATGCATTAGTACCTGACCATGGTGGTGGATATCTACACAGATCAGAAAATTGAATAGGAATACAGGTACATGCAAATGAGTACAAGTAAAATGAAAAATTTAAGGTGGGTTGTATCAGTGACAACATCCTAATTGTGATTTTGAAAAACATTACCATTGGGGAGAACTGGGCAAAATGAACTATTTCTCGGTGTTATTATTTTTTACAATTGCATGTTAATTTTCTCAACAAAAATTTCAGTGGAAATATGCACTAGTAAAATTTATGTTTTGTAGAATGAGAGTCACATTCCCCTTCTTCTAGTTATCTACATATAGATTATTCCTGAGGCATGTAAATTAGACACTAACTGGAAAGAAGAGGAAAGTGCCTACAAGGGATAAGCCACCAGTACCGGAACTGCTTTACTATTTTGACCTAAGTGAAACTGCAGATTACAATTGCCCCGAATTTTTGACAGTTCTGTCACAGTAAGTCAACTTTACCCAGCTGTTTTCTGATTTACCCACTGGGTCTACTATGTCACTTTTGGGTCCTTACTTCCAAAGGTAGGATTAAAATAATTCTGGGGAGGGGGCAGAAATAAGGAGGAGGGGCTACAGGGTAAGGGGAAGGCGACATCTCTAATACTTTCAACAATAAAGATAAATTTAAAAAAATAAAAATCACTTTGCAAAAATAGAATTTTTATTATAGAAATGAAGCTTACCTACCAAAACAAACAAGCAAAAATATGATGCTTAGTTTCCGGAAATAGCATTTTATAATGTAAGGCATTTTTACCCTGAGCCATTACTTTAGAAAAGTACAGCCCCTAGCAGCAATGAGTGCACTTAAATGTCTCGAGTGGCTTGGAGAAGAAAGACCGTGCTAATAGGGCCAGGGTTCCGACGAACTTTGTCACGATCATTTCTCTGTTATGCTCAAGGTTTCCTTTCCCAACAGTAGGGCCAGCTCGGACTTGAAGGAGAGCCTCGAACTTTTTCTAAAGTGAAAGAACAGAGAGGAAGCCATGGCAGCCTGGGAATCCGGCCCAGAGCAAGGCATCCGCCGCACCGAAGGAAGGACAGCCACCTTAATTCCCAGAAGAGACATTTCACTTCTCCAGACGTGCACATTTCCAGGCGCTCCCTGGGCAACCGCCCGAGCTCCGGAGGGAAACTGAGGCAGGGCTGGCGCTCGCCCCGCGGAGAGGACCCAGGCGTCCAGAGTTCTCCGCGCGGCGGCCGCACACTCCCCCGGCCCGGCCGCCCTCCTCCCGCCCGTCCAGCCCCGCCCCGCCCAGCTCGGGACAAAGCCCGGAGCCCGCGCCGGGGGAGGTGGCAGGGCGGCTCCCGCGCGCGCCACGCTCTCCCGTGGGGCGCACGACTCCGCCCCCGTCGCCCCTCCGAGGAGGGGAGAGCCCGCGCCCCAACATTGAAGGCGGCCCCGCCAGGCCCGCCGGGCCCCGCCCCGAACCCCCATGACGTCACCGGCGGCGGCAGGCCCCGCCCCCGGCCCCGGGCGGCAGGCCGCATGACGTCACCGAGGCCCCACCCCTCCGGAGCGAGTTCGGTCCTGGCGTTCATTTCATTCCTGTCCTCATTCCGAACATTCTTAGCATCGCTCGCGCCGCTCCTCGCCGCCCCGAGCCGAGCCTCTGCCGCCGCCGCCGCCGCGGCCCCGCCGCCCGCCGCGGGCGCCCACCAAGCACTTTGCAGACTCGCTTCCACCCCGCGGGCCAGTCCGCGCGGCGGGGCCCGGGCCCGGGGCGGCCGCGTCCGGCCGGGGACAGGCCATGCAGTGACGCCCCCCCCACCACCACCCATCCCGTCCACCTACCTTTGCCCGGAGCCGCGGGCAGCGGACCAGGGCGCCCACACGGCCCCGGGGCAGGAGCGGTGCTGAGGCGAGGGCTGGGGTGGTCCAGCCCGGGCACCCGGAGCCCAGCGGGGAGGGGAGCCGACGGGCACCGAGCGGAGGGCGGGAGAAGCGGCACCGAAGTTTGCCTCGGACTCACCGGGCGCGGCGGCGGCGGCGGCGGCTCCCTCCGCGAGGTAAGTTGGCGCGCGGGGCTGGTGCCGGGTGCGAGGGGGAGCGCGGGGCGCCGCGGGGTGGGTGGCCGGTGGCCCGTCCCTTTCCGGCGGCTGCTCTTTCCCTCCCGGCTCCGCTTTGTGTGAAGCGAGGCGGACGGGCGGGCGAGCGGGCACGCGGGAGGGCCGCGCCGGGCCCCCTCGCCCGCCTCCCCGCGCCTCCGTTGGAGGTGAGCCGCCCGGCGCCGCCGCGAGTGGCCGGGACGCCAAGTTGGGCCGCGCGCTGCAGAGCCCGTGCGGCAACAGGCGGCCCCGCGGGCGGCCCCGGAGGCGCCGGGCCGGCCGCGCCGCGCCCCCCGCGCCCCCCTCTCCCGCCCGCCCGCCCGCACGCGCACACACAGGCACATACCCTCACACCCACGGGCCGTTTTCACGTTTTGTTTTGTTTTTTCCCCCCCGGAGAAGTCAGAAGTTGGAGGGAGCGCGGGCGGGGGGAGCCGCCTGGGAGCCCGAAGCCAGTTCGATCCCCCCTTTCCCCCGCCCCCATAAACTCCAGACAGCCTCCCGGGCCGCCCCCCCCCCCCCCCCCCTCAGTCGTAGGGGCCCCCAGAGGCTGGGCCAGGGTCTGCGCCTCCGAATTGTGCTGCTGGCGGGGGTTTCGCTCCTTCTTCTCCAAGATGAAAGCGGGCACTGGTCGCCTTTGCCGCTTCTCCAGGCAGGACGGGTGCTGCCGCCGCCGCTCCTTCATTGCACATTCAAGTGGAAAATTTTCAGGAGTCAGCAGAAACATTGTGTCCAAAAAAGACTTGAGTCGCAGTTACCACCAAATCCTGGAGGAGAGACTCTCTCCCTGGAAAACTTCCCTTCGGTAGGAAATACTGGGAGATTTGTTTGTTTATTGGAAGAGGAATGATCCCCAGGAGGGAAGAAAAATCAGGGTGTACTTCTCAAGTCTTTGTTCGTAGCAGCAACACTTGTTTTCAAAAGTCCAGAGGCCCGCTTTAAAGAAAGTTCAACTTATGTGTTTCCTTTTTTAAAAGTATATTAAAAAAACAAAACAAAATAAAACTGAGGCAACATTTTTAAATGAGTTGAAAACAATAGAGGGCTCACACCTCCCTATTCTTCTCCCAGGAAAGAAATAAAATCCAGATCCCATTTTTCCTTGCTTTCAAATTCTTTTTTAAAGATTTATTTAAAGCTGAATGGTGTCACTGGATAAAAATATTTGCGAAACAATGAAATACCAGCCACCAGCATTTCTCAGAAGGCTTGTTAACTTCTCAGAGGCAAGTGGCTGCCTGTGATTTGTAGAAATGAAAATTGACCTCAGCGAGCACTGGAAACTTAAGAGACAGATGATGTTGCAGGAGCGGGTAATGTAAAAAGGCCATGTTTAAAAAACAAAAAACAGTGCCTTGGAGAAAGCCCAGGTCCTGGGAACAGAAAGGTCTGCAAAACCTATCAGGTATGAAAATAGTGTAAAAAAAAAAAAATAGAATGCTATAGATATTGCAAAGGAGCAGAACACGATCCGTTCAGGACAACCACACGCTTCTTCTTCCTCCCTACCTTTCACTAGGATCGTTTATTGAGGTGGCCTGATCGTTTGTGGTGTGCTGGGTTCCTGCAGGTGGTTACCTGAGCAGTCAGATCCCTCCCGGAAGACCTGATCTCCCTGCATTGTCAGTGCTGGGGGGAGTGGGGTCCTTTTCTGAGTCTGCCCTGGATCTTGATGATGCCTTATCCATGGGGGGGCTCCCCTGCTAGGGTACTCTGGAGGCAGGGGTTGGGAACAGCCCTGTGCTTTTCTTCACCCTTTCACAGTTGGGTTTGTGCCTTTCTGTAAATAGGGTCTTTTGGCTCAATCACATTTGAATGCTTATACGGGGCCAGTCTTAGGTCCAACTTTGGTAAGAATCTTTCCTCTTTAGAAGGAAACGGTAGAACTAATTACAGAGTGACTCAGAGAAGACAAATGGATTAGTTGAACCTTTGTCAACATCGAGGTTTTGAATTGTTGATAATTTTTTTTTTTCGGGGAAAGGCTTATTTTTCTAATCTCACTATTTCCATAAATGGTCACAGATATTTTTTGTTTAGCGTTTCTTTATATGTGCAACTCTGTTGAACTCTCAGGTTTCAGGTTTTCAACAGAGTTTACAATTCTTTTATTTGTTATTGGTATAAAAAAATGAACTGATAAGCAGTATCCATTACTGGTTCTTGCTGTTGGTATGAAAGTACCAAGGCAGACCATTTTATTTTTACTTAAATGATAAGTATTATTTGATCCACAGTTTTAGGGGGGATATTAGAATGTCTTTTCTTTCCTTTTTTTTTTTTTTTTTTTAATAACTTTGAAACAAAGCCAGTATGACACTTTGCCCTGACATTAAGAGGAAAAAATACATTATAGGTAAGAACCTTTGTTTAGAGTCCTCCTCTGTGTGATCTTTTGTAAGGTAGCAAATAGAACTCCAGAGAACATGCCTGAGAGATTATTAGAGATTTTTTTTCTTTCCCCAAAACATAAACCAGGACTCACCATGACATATACTTAATGAAATTTAATTTAAAGAGGAGGGCAACCTAGCTTAGTTTAAGCTTGATCGAAATGAATTTCTCACCGAGAGGTGCTTTCTTGCATTGTGGTACAATGTGTGTCTGCTCTGCAGTAGTGAACTAATTAAACATTAGGGAGAGTTGGGGTGGGGGTACAGCCTGGGGGAAGCCAGCTTTCTCCTCTGTTCCCCTTTTCTCTACCCCTTTTGCTTTATACAGCGTGAATTCTGTATTCGTACACTCACTTTGGGGACTGGCATCCCCTTTTATTTAGAAAAAGGACAACAAGCAGGTCATAAGGAAAACCAATGTTCTATGTTTTTGTTGCTTACACTTCAGTTATTTATAAACAATTTTGAATTTTGCTGGCTCTGACAGAACAGCAGATATAAGAGGGCATTTCTTAATGGGGGAAATTTGGGAAGAATATACTTGTAGTGTTCTGTCATCTGTGTTTAGATCATATTTATTGTACCATTTCAGTAAAAAAGTGTGTACAGGGACAGTTAGAGAATGTAGGTCCCAAATGTTATTTATATAGGTCTTTGAAGAAATGAGCTGTGCCATTAACAATATTTTAACATTTGTTGCTTCAGAAATGGATTGATATCTCTCATACACAAGGGTTGTAAAAAGACCTGCACATCTGTGGGATTACTCTTCTCCAATCTCATGTGTTATTACGTGTTAATTGTGAGCATAATTATACTGCCTGCAAATGAAAATTGTTGTGTTTTATCACTCAAAAGGTTGGTGCAAATAACTGCATGTATGATCTAGTGTATATAAGATGACCATGTTTACACACAGATAGCAGGCAGATAACACTTTTAAAGCTTGTGTTTTAGGCACCTAGTCTTGTTTCTAATAAAGAGATTGCAAAAGGAAAAAAAAATTGCTCAGTGAAAGCTATGCTTAGAGAGAGGTTGGTTCTGTTTAGTGGTAAAATTTTGGGGGCCTGTTTTCTCCGAAGACTAAAGAAGGCCAGAGCAAGTGTCCAGCTTTCTTTGTAGAACCGTAGGGAAATCAGAGGCCACCTATCTGTTGATAACTTCGGGCATGACAGTTTCACCCTTAGAGTTCAGTGACTGGAGCAGCAGAGTACTGATGTTCTATTTCTGAACTCAGTAAGAAAAAGTATATTGTAAGCTTTTGTTGCCCTTCGAGAAACTTAGACTTTGCTGCTGAGCTCCTGTGGACTCGCCGATGCCTGGAATAATCTTTTATAGCTTTGTGGTGCTTTTTCTTTTTTTCTTTTTATCTGTTGAAGACACAGATTACCCTGTGGCATTTAAATTAGATCCCAATCATGTTTGAACAGTATCAGTGATGTATTTTATTCGTCCATATTCACAAAGGTGATAATATCAAGTAACTCAGGTTCATGCTAAGCACTGACCGTTTCAGGGTTGGGCTTTTTAGCAAATACCATGTTAGAGGACACACCCCCCCCCCCCACTCCCCCCACCTGTATTATGATTTCTAGATTTTTCTGAAATCTGTGAAGTTTGGGACCTTTCCTATTCTGGGGTAGTTTTTGAAATGCTAGATTATTTGGACCTAAATATCTGGAGTGTTTTTGTGTGGGTTTTTATGTTGTTTTATTTCAAAGCTGTTAACTGTTGAAGAGTCCTTAATCTAACATACTCATCACAAGCTGCTTTGACCTTATCCCATATTTACACTCACTGTTGAAATTCAGCCATTTCTCCAGATGCATTTGGACTGCGTAGAGGTGCAGGATAGGAGAATTTCAAAATATTGAAATATGTATTTTTTTATTTTAATCAAAGCAAACGGGTGTGCTGAAGTGTAGGTTTTCAGGATGGTTTTCCTTAAAGGGTGGCTCACTCTCAGCTCTTAAGTTCTTTTGTTCACTGACTTTTTGCATGGTTGGGAGGATTCTCAAAAAAAAATAGTTTCCATAGTCTGGGAGTCCTGGCTAACTGTGAAACCACTGGTCTCTCTTCTGATTGGATTGGGCGGGGGTTTGTTCTAGGAGGCTGTCTTTTCTGCTTTTGTGGCAGACCAAAGGAAGGCTCCATGCTGGCTGTATTATGGGTCCCTCTCTCCTCCCCCTGGTTTTTTTTTTTTTTTTTTTTTTTTTTAAATCAATATTTACTACCCTGATGCCGTGCTTTCTGCCTTTTTCTCCCCCACATTAGTTTAAAAACCAATTAATTAAATCTCTGTCTTAGGATTTCATTAGTAGTTTTAGTTTAAGGGACAGGGTCCAACACTGGAAAATGAGTTTTAAAGAAAAATCCAGCTTATTGATGAACAAGTTAAGTCACTCTTGTCTCCAGTGGGAAATCTCTGGTTGCTTTTAGGCATCTGACAGGTTTAGACGTATGTGTTAAGTGACTGAAACACTATTGACGGAATATACAACAATGACGAGTGCTGTTGTTTTTACTGATATATAAACTGAAAAACTGCTGCTAATGGTGGGAAATGTTAATTATGTGAGAACATATTGAACTTATATTCTCTGGCATGAACTTTTAAAAAAATGCATGAACTGCACTGCCTTTTTTTTTTTTTTTTTTTTTTTTTTTTTTTTTTTTTTTTTTTTTTTTTTTTTTTTTTTTATAGGCACAGCTTTCTAATTATCATAATTCAGTTCAGCTCAGCTCTTGGACAGAGTTCAAGTGCAATCTCAATTTAACTTGAAAGGAGTTGTGTGTGTTTTTTTAAAACTGAGAATGTTTAAGAAATTTGAAAAGTTCATCCAAGAATGTTGTCTGCTTAGGTGTGGGAGATTTGGGGGATGAAATGAGTACCTTTCTGTAATAGTTAACTAGATCTGAGTGTTAGGAAAGACTCTATATTCTTTCTTTCTTTTTTAGCTTTGCACATACCCAAACCTGCATCTTGTGCATTTTTGCATAACCAGATGTTATGTGTTCTGAGCTCTCTTTGGAAACCAGTGTCTTTTCCCTAATAGATAGTAAACGAAAAAATGAATATTTTATTACTATGAAGGATATCATCTCTGCAAAGATAGGAACCTTTTTTTTTTTAGAGAGTAGAAAGAAAGGCAGAAATCTTATGAATTCATTCGACAGAGTCACCATTAATCTTTTATACCAACCCAGCCTTTAGAAGCCGATCTCCTTATCTGGAGTCTTTACACTTTGACTTGATGGCATTTTGTAAAGGGAGTCGTCTTTGTCAGCATTCATTCCAGTGTCCAATGTCCTTTAGATTTCCTATGATCTTATTGTCTTTTCAAAGCAAAAAAGAAAGTTAATGAAGCCCAGGCCCCAAATCCTCTGTGGAATCGATTTTAAGTGGAAGAAAGAACAACTTCAGCTGGACCTTCCTACTCCCCGACTCTCTCTCTGGCCTCACTTCTACTGCTAGAATGCAAAGGGAGCCCGCGGAAACCGAATGACTTCATTTGCTCTGGCACTTCAGAGCCGAATTCACTTCCATGGCGGTGAAATAAAAGGAGCCAAGTGTTTTAAATAGCCACTCCCCAAGGCCCGCCCGCCCCAGTGTTTTGAGAAAAGCTCATTGTCTGCTTGCAGCCCTAGCCAGGAGCCTGCCTGCCTTGCCCTCCCCCACCAGGCAGCTCCAGTTCTGAAGTTGACATCTGGTTTTCTCTCTGTTCACCTGATGTGTACCCATTCCCGCACCCACATGAGGTGTGTGCCTGTGTGTGTCTGTAGCAAACACCTATTTTTGACATTGAATGTGTGTGTGCTTCAAATCTCTCCTGGGATAGGGGGAGGCCCAGAATTAACAGCACAGAATAAAATGTAAACACAGTAGCCTGCCCTGCATGCCACTGCTGCTGGGCTTCTATCCGATGGTGCTTTCTGGGTAGGCATGCCTATTGTTGCAGCAGCAACAGGCGGCAGAAGTTGGGGCACCATATGGCGGATGTGGGCCTCAGATAAGCTGTCTGGTAATTTAGCTTATCAATAGCATTTTGATATGCTTCATTTTCAGATCACCCCTCACCATGGCTGGGGTGTCCTGGGGCCAGCTGATTCCAAAAAACTATTGAGGCCATTGTGAGCGATGCTTCCTTTGGTGGAATCTCTTTCAACCCTTTCTCCCTCTCTGCCTTTTCATCTGAAAGCCTTTGGGGAGACAATGGTGGTTAGAGTGGGAAAGAGCACTATCAGCTGAGGGAACCATCAGTCCCTAGCCCCCGGCCCTGTCTGGAAATCTGGGACTATTAGAACTTCATCGGGTATTTTTATTGAATGGAAAACAGTAAACAAACTACTTAGTAACATTTCATACTGGTAGAGCCGAGAAATTCCCATAATTCAAAATTTGCTTTTGTTTTACATACTGGAGAGATAAGGCTGATATTGTTCTTTTTTTGATAAAAGGTTTCCAGTTTTGTTGTGCATTAAAAATATGTCCCTCATTTTCTTTTACCTTTGAATTTTGTCTTAATCATAAAATGTAAAAATGATTAGCATCTACGTAACTGGATATCAGAGGATGTGTTAACAGTGATTTGGAGGCAAGAGTCAGCTTCCTTCCTGACTAGGAATTGTTAAACATGGAAATGTTTCTAGAAACCTCTACTCAGAGGCCAGATGAAGTTGAAGCAAAACTAAAATCTGTTCCACTATGAATTGAAGGAGGGGGACAGGTGGGGGGCAACTCTTGCAGAGCCAACTCAGATTTTTTGCACAGAGTAGGTGGCTCTGTGGACATTTGATGATGTACATGGCCATGTGCTTATCAGCCATGTGAATCTCGTTCAGCAAATATTGGGTGTCTTTGGTATGTGCCAGGCGCTGGAGGAGCCAGGGTAAGACTTCTGCCCCTTCCCAGTCCACCCTCCCTGCACATTGTCTCTCAAGTTAACAGGCCCCTCACTGTTCCCAGATTTTGATTTGGGATTAGTAATTGACAGTACATGGATCCTTTTACATGGTGAATTCAGGATGGTTCTGACTCAAACCCAGGGCAGCCTCGTTCTGCTCCTGCCCCTGGATCCTCTGCCACACCAGTCGTTCCCACCTGACCTGTGCCTGGCCATTACCCCTGGAGACTTAGGAGGGCTGTGGCAGGCACAATGTTTCCAGTTTTCTAAGAACCTATTGTGGTGTTCACCTCTGATTGGGAATAATTGCTCTTGGACTCTAATTTTTTTGTTACTTCTCATCCAAGGATGTTTTCCATTGATTTTTTTTTTTTTTTTTTTTTTTTTTTTTTTTTTTTTTTTTTTTTAGAGAGAGAGTGAAAGGGGTGGGGAAATACAGAGAGAGAAGCATCAATGTGAAGGAAACACATCAGTTTGTTCTCTCCCCCAGCACATGCCCAGACTGGAGCCAGGGATTGAGCCTGCAACCCAGGTATGTGCCCTTGACTGGAATTGAACTCTTGATCCTTCAATTTGAGGGCCAATGCTCTATCCATTGAGCGAAACTGGCTAGGGTGATACTCTAATTTTTATCCTTAGATTGAATGAGACAAAATGTGGCCATCCCTCCTAACTGAGTTGGGATTTTCCTCCCATCTATATTTGTGAGGTGATGTACCAAAGAACATATGCTGATTCTTTCGTTTTTACTTTTATTTTTAATTTACCTTTATTGTTGAAAGTATCACAAATGTCCCCCTCCCCCCTTTTTTTTTGTTTTTTTGGGGGGGCAGAAGGGACAAGAAGAGATTAACCAAAGAATTTATATGCATACCTATACTGAATGTTTATGGAATTCACATAGATGTTCTTGGTTGATTTTAAAGATACAACTGCACAAAAATAAGGTTGCAACTGCGAGAAGCAATAAAATGAGTAGAGCCACCTTCTTTGTGCTCAGCTTTCATCTGTTGCCCCTTGGGAGTGTAGCAGTTGTTTCCAGATGTGATAATAGAGGCCTGTGTCAGGCTTGCTGGGAAAGGGTTTAAAGACTAATTCTTACCTGGCTGCTTGCAGAGGTGTTTTTATTTTTTGAGTAGTGGGGATGCTGTCTGAACTGCTCGCTGAGCTCCTCAGATGGTATCCCTTGACACTGCAGAGTGCGGTGGTACAATGGGTGATGCTGACAGCAGCCTAGAGACGAACCCGCTGCTGATAAACCATATGTGGCTTTTCATTCTTTTTTCTCTGTTCCTTCCACCTTTGGGTTCCTTGAAATCCAGATGCTCCCAGTTCTACATAGAACTGCTACTTGACCCTGGACATTTAAACATTTACAGGTGCTACTGTGTGCCAGGGTTTTGGTGATCAGAAAAAGATGGCCAATGAATGGTGATCAGTAAAATTTACAGGAAGGGAAACAGGCATGTAAAGAGATCATCACAGTCTAGTGGGGAAACAGGGCTGAGGCAGAGTATCCCATGTTCCAAGATGCAAACTTCTCCTGTATTTGAACATACCCTTCAATTCTGATTGGCCAGGCCGTGGTCACCATCCATGATGTGGTTGCACACACTCATCAAAGCCTGTAGAATAGGGGTGTCAAACTCAATCAGAGAAGGGGCCAAAATCTAAAATCCAGCCTAAATCGCGGGCCGAATGGTTTACTGAACAGTCATAAACTGTCATTGTGATGGAAACGCAGCGGAGTGCAGTGATGACAGCACTGTGCGGGCCACATTGCAAGGCCTGGCGGGACGGATTTGGCCCGCGGGCCTTGTGTTTGACACATGTGCTGTAGAACAAATGCAGAATGCTTTTGTCACAGGGGGCGATAGTGTGCGGAGCAGCATGGATATTTGTCTCTTTGAGCAGTTGTTTTACGTATATCTTACCCAGTTTATTTTGCTTATACTTTACTCTTTATGTCTGCACAAGATTGACATACTTAAAAGGTTTCAGTATGCATAAAATAAGATTTCTGAGTGATACAGAAATATATATTTTGTTTGTTCATTTGTTAATCCTCATCTGAGGATATTTTTCTATTGATTTTTAGAAAGAGTGTAAGGGTGGGAGAGAGATAAAGAGAGAGAAACATCAATATGAGAGAAACACATTGATAGATTGTGTTTTGACCAAGGCCAAATAATGTGACCAGAGCCAAGCATCGAACCTGCAACAGATGTATATGCCCTTGACCAGAATCAAACCTGAGACCCTTCAGTCTGCAGGCCAACGTTCTATCCACTGAGCCAAACTGGGTAGGATGCAACAATATCTTTTCAAAATTAAATTTTATTGATTTTAGAGAGAGGAAGGGAGAGGGGCAGAGAGATAGAAGCATCATTGATGGGCTGTCTCCTGCACATTCCCTCTGGAGATGGAGCTAGCAATCCAGATATATGCCTTGACTGGGAATTGAACAGTTACCTCTTGGTTCTTAGGTTGAAGCTCAACCACGCCGGCTGAGCACCTTATTTGGATTCTTGGCTCAGCCACTCACTGGTTCTGTGGCCCTGGTCAAATTACATTGGACCTCCTCTCTCGAACTTAATTCGTTCTGGAAGGTTGTTTGAGAAGTGATTTGCTCAAAAACAGAATCATTTTCCCCTATTAGAATTTTGTAAATTGGATTAATCCATCCCTGACCCCCAAATGATTCCCTGTTTTAACCTTTCTTATATAAATACAATACATGTCTAATATACTGTTTATAAACACTTCTTTTCTTAAATTTATCAAACCATCCCATACTAGCCTTAAACAAAATTTTCATGTATCACTGCCTCAGAAATGCTACCAGCTAACTACTTTTTCTTTATCCAATCAACAACAGTTTTTCTACCTATTCAAGTGCCTGTAATTGTTGTTTTGTGATCACATTCATACCCTTAGCAACATTAACCCTCTTTATGTTTTAAAATTATACTAATCATCAATTTCACCAGCAATAAAAGCATTCTTTCCTTTGTTTGTTGCCTGAAGGACACTTTTTTTTTTATAATATATTTTATTGATTTTGTACAGAGAGGAAGGGAGAGAGATAGAGAGCCAGAAACATCGATGAGAGAGAGTCATCAGTCAGTTGCCTCTTGCACACCCCCCTACTGGGGATATGCCCGCAACCAAGGTACATGCCCTTGACCGGAATCGAACCCAGGTCCTTTCAGTCCTCAAGCCGACGCTCTATCCATTGAGCTAAACCGGTTTCGGCGTGAAGGACACTTTCTGTCATGCTGAGGTATCATCATGAAAGGGTTGTCAGGTTGAAAACCGAGATATTTTTTTTCTATGGACAACTTGGTTGAAAACTGAATTGTTTGAGATGGGAGACTTTTGAGAAACGAGGTTTGACTGTACCTCCTCTCTCAGCCTCAGTGTTCCCATTTGGAAATCCTGATAGAATGCCTCCTGTATGCCTGACATTTAGTAAGTGTTCAGTAAATGACAAATTCAAATGTTATCTTGCCTACCACATCTTCACAGATTTCCTGCCAGGTCAGCCTGGACGGGTATTCTTGAGGAACACCCAGGGCTGAGGCAGAGTTACTTAGGAGAACCGGACTTCTGGTCTCAGGCAAATGGACAGAAATCCAGGGCAGGCTGGTACATCCCATAAAGTCCTGGACTATTAATCGCTTTGAACCACACTTCCCCTGTTGATAAAGTGGAGGAAATCCATCAGTAAATACATCATATTTGAGGTCATTCTTTGCCAAGTGGTAGTACGAATCAAATGGAAATGCTTCTGAAAAAGTGAGTTTGATGTACCTTCATCCACGCAAAAGGAAACTCTTTTCTTAGGTTCTTACTTAGGAACTGTGCTCCTAACTTTGGGATTGGGTTCTGAAAGCTCTTCTCTAAGGTGGTTGAAAGGAACACTTCACAGAGATTCTGTGATTAGAGCCCTGGGCCTGCTGGCAGCTCCCTTGAGGAGTTCCTGTCCGCTGGTGGTGTGAGGGCATTAAGCCTCAGGTGGGAGAGAACTAGGGGCAGAGAGGAACCACCCCGTACCTTTAGAGAGAGTAGAAGTGAGGGGGAGAGGCAGAGAGAAACATCCATGGTGAGAGATAAACATTGTTTGATTGCCTCCCCCAAGGGCCAGGGATAAAGCCTGCAACCGAGGTACATGCCTTTGACCAGAATGGAACCCGAGACCCTTTAGTCTGCAGGGTGAAACTCTTTATCTATCCACTGAGCCAAACCTGCTATGGCTCCTGCACTGCTTAATACCCGCTTAGTGCAAGCTGTTGCTTAATTTGTGCCCTCAGTTTCGTCATCTGAAAAATGGGGATGACGTTATCTATCTAGAAGAGTTGTGGTAAAGTTTAGTTAAAAGCTAGCTCAGTGTGGCTGCTATTAAAATCCCCAGCCAGCCTGCTCCTCCAAGTAGGTACTCCAAGCTCAGGAATTAAGTCTTTGCTTTGCCACTCCCAGCAGGCTCTTTGCTTTGGGTCTTAAACATAATTTACATAATAATTAACACTTTTATGTGAATGGTAGCCCAGCCCTTTGCCAATATATTTGCATATGTAAGAGCGTGTTTGTTAATCTAAGATGAGTGTCTGCTTGGGTTAGTACCCTGGGTAGAGTGGGTAGAGACCTACTTTTTCCACTCCGAAGCCTTAAGCGAGCTGTGTCTGCTTAGATCCCTAGCTACACTTCAGTGTGGGTCAGCGTCCCCTCCTTTGTGGACCCGGGCGGGCCACTCCCTGCTATTGCTTTGAGTAGTTAAGATTGTTTTGTGTGAGCCAGGGCTGGAGAACACATCTATTGTCTCTTAGCACAGTATGTAGAACTAATGTGGTTTCCCAGTCTTTAGGTTAAAAATTACTTGAGGGATGTGTGAAGTTGTTGGGGACAGGGATTTTTTAAAGGCAGCTAGCTAACTGTTGAAGAAGGGAGAAAGGTTGATTTAAAAAACAGTTGGTTCACAATCTTGTGAATCTACTAAAAAACAACAGCTATGACGTTTTGTTCAGAGTTGTTTCCTTAAAACACTGATGAGATGCTGTAAGAACTTAAGTTTTATTTATGTAAATTAGCTTATGATAAAATTGGTTTTGTTACGCCTTTTTCACTTAACATCTTGAAACATGTCGTCGATATTAACTGAGGACTTACTGTACTTGAAAAGGGTGGGTAAGTTATAATTTCACAGGAAAAACAGAACAGTCAATATAGTTATCATGGAATAGCATTGACTGTGCACACCAGCATTTCTCACACTCACGTGACATTTGTTTCATTCAAAGTGGCCATCTAAGACTTTGCATTTGTACTAGTTTACTGGTTTTAGTGAGGATCCTAAAGATATATGTAAAATGGAAGCTTTTTTATTTTTTATTTTATAAAGAATGATTCTAATGGTGTGGAATGACTCCCTCCTTAATGATAGATGTTGACTGTGTCCAACCGCCCATGTAGCTTATACTTTAAACAGCCCAAGAACTGAAGTCATGAAGAACAAACTAGGAGATCATGAGGCCA